TAGTTAGTCACGTGACACACGTGAACCGCGTGATACCCCGGTGGGTGTGTCGCGGTATGCCGCGAAATACCTCACCCATTTTGAATGGCTGCATCTGTAATAAAACTAAATAACAATAAAATGTTCCAAAACAAAGGTATCCTGAAAGGGCACACTATTTAAAATACTGACTTTTACTGTTTTGTTCATGCAAAATCAGGATTGGGAAGCTAGATACTTGCTACCCACAATTTCTTTACAGTCATTTAAACATGATTGGGCACCTGCAATCTGTATGGACATTGGTTGAAGAATGTTATCTTTAACAAGTTACCTGAAGACAGTATGTAACTTTAGTCTTGTTCCTTAATGCAGTCTTAATGCATTGTTTTAAATCACACATGAAGTTGAAGTGAGATTATTTTGTTCTTTAGGTCTGTGGGATGGTGAACTTGAAAGGAGTGTGCCAATAACTGTGAGATGCGTTATTATACATCACATTTATCAGAGGTCTTTTAACTCTTTCACAGAAACATATTTTCATGATTTTTCAGAACGCTTCATTAAAACTGAATGTTAATGTACCATGTACATGTTCAAGGTGTTGTCAATATCACAGGGAAAGGTAGTAGCTCTAGCATTTTGTTTGAGCTTAAGTTCTGGGTTCATCAGCAAAAATTAATCTTCACTTAAAAAAAAGATAAATTAACATTTAGTGCAACTTGCACTGAACATTTGTGACTACATTTCACATAAATTACATAATTAAAAGCATCAAACAAACCTTTCCGCTCTATCGGGGCAAAGAAGAAACCTGCACTCTCATTGACGTGGTAGGTCTTCTTATCAAACTGAAGTGTGGGTTCATCCTCAGTGTCAATGATGTTGACTTTAGCTCTGGTGACTTTCCCCAGCAAAGCATATACCGGCATACTGAGTTCCACATTAAAGCTCTCAATGTTCTCAAAAATGTGGTCATCATTGATCACAATGGTGCACACCTTTGTATCCTCTCGTTCATCAAACTGCACCTGAAATACCCAAAAAAAGAGATAAATTGGTGTAGCACTGGCAGACTTCAAGACACACTACAGCTCAAAGAAAATAAATTAATTATATACATGATTTTACAGCATGTATCATGAGAAATTACCACAGTAGCAGGCAATTATGTTAGCAAAGAATCATAAAAAGATAACAAAAAATAACAGAGATGCAGAGATATATGCAACACTGGTGGATATAAATATATATTATAGAAGAATATATTGATAGAAGAAGGGGAGGTGTAGCATTACGTATCATAAAGATATAAGTAAATAGGAACTAAAGTTATATAAAGGAATCTTTATATAGTCTTTGAATCTGTATGGGTGATGTTGATGTAGCTTATTGTTTATCACTAAATAATGAAGTAGTTCAGGAGGGTAGCTGTGTCAGCATGCATAGGCTGCAAAGGAACAAGTAATACTGTAGGTTTATTCCATGCTGAAAAGAGAGGATTGTAAGCAGTCCTTACACCCGAAGAAGGCGCCACAACCAAAACGTTGTTTTCTTTCTTTTCTTCGCAGCATGGAATAAACCTACTACTTGTTACTTTATAATGAAACTACATTTCAATTCATACAAAAGAAAAGGCTAGTATAGATCTAGTATTTTCAAACAATCAAGACAGAATGAAACAGAGATTACAGAACCATTGTGGAGTTATGATCCTAATGTGGTATAATCTAAAATATTTTAAAACTTTAGATTGAGTCCAAAGCAAAAATGAACAGTTTCAGGAAAAGACTTTGAGGTAATAAGACAGAGTTTAAGAAAAGTAAAATACAAACATTTAATTAAAAAGTAAAAAAACGTACAGTTTACACAAAGATTCTAAGATGATCACAAGGAAGAAAAATCACCCGTGTTTCTCACATAAAAAGTGTTTAACTATCTTAACTCATTTTTTTATAGCTCTTAAAGTCATGCAATGTCCAGGTTAGGCAGGGACACATCAATGTTTCTTATTTTTGATTTTCTTTAAAAAATAAAAGAATCAGTTGTCCATCATGCCATAACAGTATTATGTCACATTTTTTTACATTTTTGAGAGACTTCAGAAGGCTTTGACTGATGCATATAAAATGTAATATAATGCGTGCTGTTGTGAAAAAAACGATTATTCTGCTTTATATAGTCAGGCTTTTCACATACATAAATTTAGTTCCATTCATTTTCTAATCTGTTCATCCAGAACAGAGGAGCTGGAGCCTATCCCAGCAAGCAACAGGCAGTTGAATAGTAATTCTTGTATTATTCACTCCCTTACACCTGGGATCTGCTTTATGCAAACTAGGATTTCTAAAAATGCAACCAGTTGTTAGATGTTTAAATTACATTTCTGAAAAATTCCACAAATCACAATCTTTAAAATGTCTGTGGCTTGACGGCTCTGTGTCATTTGTTCACAAACTTATTGACATCTGAAACACTGTGTCTTGTAAATAGGCGTTTTAATAAGAAAGTGAAGTTTATGAAAACCGTAGAAAACAAATGACCCTGAACAAAATACAAGAAGTTTGAAATTATTATTCATTATTAATGAATTAATATTGTTAAGTATGATGAGATACATTATTATAGTTCAGTTTCAGTGATCTTTTTAATACCACTTTGTTATTCTCGATGATTATTATTATATACGTTACGGTTTTAAGGCTTGTTGTAAAGGCTTGTGTTAAATTGTCCCACTGGGATGAATAAAGTATTACTAGTGGGAGTAAAACCCAGTTGAACTGTTAATGTATTTACTTTTGCTCATTCATGTTTTTAATATTTAACATTCAACAAGTAGTGATATACAGTGTAAACATAATAAAATGTCTATATAATGTACATAATATTAACTATTTTATTTTTAAAAAAGGGGTCTTAGAAAAAAGGTTAGAAGAAAAACTTGTGCCCTATGTGGGAATCGAACCCAGGCCTCCGGTAGGAGAACCACTCACAAAACCAACTTTACCAGCGTGCCACTCAGAAACATAGCTAATAACACACAGGTCAAAATGTAATCAAGAGTGAATGAGTGAATGATGCAGATGTTCACAAAGAAAGTGGAATATGGAAATACAACCAGCTATTTAAATATAGTACATTTAGATCCTTAAATTAATATTATTATTTTAAATAATAATTATTAATTTCTTTAGTTATGCAATTGCATATATTCCCTATTAAGCAGATTTAAAAATGTATACATCTTTTTACTGAAATAATGACAGCAAGTATTCATAGAAAAGGTTAAAACATATAACTTTTAATTAAGTATATAAACTTAATATAGTTAGAACGAGCACGTCAAAACTTTCCCAAAATAAGTTACTGAGTTAAAGACTTTGATGCATAAAATGTTTACAAGTTGGAATACTGTTGTGTATTTTTTTAATTTTAGGTATCACTACCAGCCATATATAGTGTGTATCATATATTAATATTCCTAAATTAATATTGTTTATGATGTTCAGAGACGTTATTCTCCTGTTATTTTTTTGCTCAGCTACCAAAAGTTCCCTTTAGTTCTAAAGTTTTATATTAATATTCCATACTAAGCAAATTTAAACATACACGGTACAGAGATTAAATGAAGCACTCATTTCACTGACATCTACTTCACCACAAGTGCTACCTGTTGATCATCTTTGGCCTGTGAATCACATGTCATAGTAACCAGCAGCCCCATTCCCACGTTATGGGGTTTTACTGCACATTCTAAATGGCTACTCTGAATGATTGTAGCACTATTCTTCCACTTTCTTTGTACACATTTGCATCGACTTCTTGGAGTCATTCACTTATAGTTATTTTGGAAACATTTTGATGTGTCTGTTTTAACTTGTTACTGGGTAACACTTTGGTACAGTGGTAAAGAATGTGTCTATCACCCAGAATGTCCTATGTTTGATACCCAAACAGGGTACATGTTCTATTTCTACCAAATAAAGACTGCTTCTCTAAAAATAAAATAGTTAATAATACGTACACTATATTGACATTTTTATCACAGCATGTAAAATATTAAATGCTATTAATACATTAAAAACACAAGTAAGTTAGCAAATATGAATACTGTCAATGGCAGGAGTAAAAAAAACAGTTTACAAAAAAATTAGACAGTATAATCTAGAATAACAAAGTGGTATTTAAACACTGAACATGAACAATGTTTATTTATTATGAATAGTTTTAAACTGTGATCAATGATCAATCACGGTTTATTTTTCAAATGCACAACAATACAGCAGGCAGCAGTAGTTGCTGGCAATGAAATGTCTGTTCTGCGAGCTCACTATATATTGTGTGTTATATTGGGATAAAAATCACAATATAATTAGACCTACTATGTGTCCAGGGTGTATGCAATATATTATGTCCAAGTAGTGCAGTATGATGAATAAAATTAAAACTGCATGTCCATGTAGCCATTATGGGTGATTTGCTGAAGGAGCTGCAGGTTGGCTATTTAGCAGTCTTATTGCCTGGAGGTAGAAGCTGTTCCATAATCTGCTGGACTTTGACCGAATGCTTCGGTACCGTTTACTGGATGGTAGGAGAGAAAACAGTTTGTAGGTGGGATGACTGGGGTCCTTGAGAATACACCTGGACTTCTTAAGACATCTAGCTGAGTAGATATCCTGGATGTTTGGTAGCCGATATTGAGCTGCCTTCACCACTCTATGCAGTACTTTGCTATCCCGGGTGGAGGAATTCCAATACCAAACTCTGCTTGACAGAGCTGCTTGTAAGAGCAAGGTGACTTTCTGCTCAATTAAATAAAACTACGGTACAGACAGATTTTGAATTCTTCAAGCATAATTTGCTGTTTGTCAAAATCTGCTACTTTGCAAGCAGTATACAGTACGACTTCTCAAAAGGTACCTTTTGTCTCTCGTGCAAACTTAACAAAGTTTTATTTTTTATAATTCCGAAATTTGAATGGTATGCCTCAGAGACTCGTTAGAGTATTGTAGTGAATACAGTTCACACAGGAAAATCAAAATACCGCCAGCAGGTCTCGCCTGCTGTGTAGCTCCAAAGTATGTGTGAAAAATCTTTTCTTACTCCAGTTATTAATCCAATCTATTTTTAGTCATCCGGCTATGTAAAAAATAAAGGTTAAAGTAAAGGTTAAATTCCAAGCTGGAAAGACAAGACTCAGCGTTTCTTCTCTAACTCTTCAGTTTACAGCTCGTCCATCATCATTCATTATTAATATTGTAACAAACGGCAGGCATACAGATGGTACAAGTCGATTGCACCGCGGTGACAGTACAGCCCTTTACTCCCCTGGAATGTTTTTTACAAATATAAGAAGAGGTTCATAATAAGCTATAAAAGTAAACTATTTTTATGCATGCTTTGATCACGCTTTGAACCGCCTGGGTGCAGTTCGCTATATAACGGTGCTCATTGCCACTAAAAGGACAATTAAAAAAAAAAACGAACGTCAAAATGTTTCCAAAAAATCCAGTTTTGATGCTTTAGCTGCTTAGATACACGATTCCATATTAATATAACTATCAAGTGATGTTAAATCACTACAACATTTATCTTTTTACAATAACAGCAAGTGGTGTTCTTACTATGTATTCCTAGATAAAACGTTAGATCTTTTTATGAAGCACAGAATATAAGCTTCATAATGTTAGAACAAGCACATTAATACCAGAAGCCATGTAAGTTACCACGTTTGATGCATAAAATATTTATGCATAATTAAAATATTTATGATGAAGGTGGAAGGTTGTGTACTTTTGTCCAACTGAGTAATCTTGCTTTTATAAAATATCCAATTTTTTTTGTTTAATGTTTAACATGCTGTAATACACAGTTAATACAATTGGAACACTATAATTGGAAAAAGATTGTTCCTCAGCATTGACTGTGTCACAACTGACCACATTAATTGCATTCATTACTTCATTATCCATCCACTTCATTATTAGTTGTGAAAGTAAGTGTAGTGGAGACAGAATTCAACAGAAGTTATCAGGAGGAGAAAAATGTAACACGTCAGAACCTTTATATTTTCTTCAGGTCAGTTTCTTCATTAGAAAACAGACAGCAAAATTTCACCAGGTATTTGAAGAAAGCAGTGAAATTGACATGAAGATGACCCCATCCAAAATGACCTAGAACTGAAAGCTTTTTTAAGGAACAAAGATTTCTCGGGACTTGTAAATTGACAGCAGTACTCTCTTCTGTCATATTGGGCACTGTTGGCCTACCTTGGTTCCACATACCCCTGTGAGGTGGTTTTTTCCTGAGATGAAAATTGTCAAGATTAAGCATTTGTTTTACAGATTAACTACATGATACAGGCTATTTCAAACTACCAGACATCAAAGCACTTTCAGTTGACATTTGAGTTTGTGAGAAACTCAATTTCTGAAGAATAGATCTTGTGTTACATTAAGATTCTAAAAGTAATGTTGTACTTATAAAAAGGTTGGGACCACAGATTCATGAAACACAATATTATTTATCAATAAGATTATATAAATACTTGAGGAAATATCATGTCTGTCTTCTGTGTGACGATCTGTAATGGAGCATACCTGCCCTGCGTATTCCACATAATCCTGCTGTCCAGGTTTTGAGCTGGTGCTGGAAGTGGAGGTGGCAGTGCCCTGTTCAGTACGGCACAGAACAATGGCATACCGGTTCAGGTTTCCAGTTCTCCTCACCGTGACACTCACTGTCCCATCTTTCTCACTGACATTGTAGCTGGAAACACAGTGAATGTTAGATTGGAAGTCCTAATATGATTAAATCCAAGGAGCTGATTTAAGATCTGTGAACCTCCATTGTCTGTTACCATTATTTTTTTCTCTTATTTTAAAATGTTTAGAAAATGGTCTCCATTCTGGAGAAAGGCAATTTTTTGATCACACTGGTAATATGCACTAAACAAGATCATTTCTAAAGTTTGCAGCAGAGAAAAGTTTAATTTCTGATGATTTAAATGGCAGTATAAACATTTTAAAGAACAAAACTACCATGAGCCAATATGGGTATGGATAAAGGAAATATTGAGGGTATTGATTGTTGCTGTATTTCATTTAGATTTATAAGATGTGGAGTAAAACATGTTGTATATAAACCTTTGATAGCTATTCTGAATATATATTCATGTCTATGGTACTGTGTATTGCATTTCAATCATAATTAATTCACTGCCTTTTGTTAAGGCATGTACTGAATATGGTGAATATGTACAAAAACTCCCAGTGCTTAGAATTGCCGAGAGAGCAATTTGTATTAGTTTACCTTGTATATTCAAAGCTGATGAGTGACCACTGTATGTGAAACACATTGTCACTGACCACATTGGGTTTGCTGTCCTTCACCAGAAACTTGAATGTGTCCATTGTCTCCAGAATATTCTCCTCATTGAGTACATAGCGAATCAGACCCAGGTTAATATCAGCTATGTAATGCAAAAAGAGAAACACCATTCAACAAACTGATATGTAATGTGTATATGAATAAGAAGAGCTGATTATTTTACTGGTAGGTTAATTCATCTTAAGCTTTCTAGGCAAGTAGGCCCAGGCATGTTTCTGCCTGGGCCTGCTTGCCTAGTGCCCCAGTGATGGACAGTGAAATTCCTGTGTATTATGTATCGTGCCTTGCACCATTGCTTGCTGGGACAGGATCTGGCATTGCTGTGACACTTTATTGGATAAAGTGGTTATAAAATGGATGGATAATAAGTAATGTTGTAGAATTTGTTCAGAAAAAAGCAATATGCCATAACCTTGGAAAAGGGTTAAAATGGTTTGTTGTAATTATATTGTGTAAGTTTAACAGCTGCAATATAATTAAAAAAAAGCTTAGACAACTGTAGAACAGAACATTGCAAAATAGTTAAATCTAGCTTAATATAGCCAACAGTATGAAAAGCTATATGCATGGTTTCTTCATGGGTTGTACCTTGAGTAAAAATTGTAATTGGAGTGCCAGGTTTAAGCTTGGTTTCCAAGTATCCATGTTTTGGTTCAGCAGTGATTTCGTAAACCAACTGTCTGTCCTCTGTGTCTGGGTCCATTGTCAGAAGCTCCTTTCTTGTTATCAGGTTGGTGGCCTAGCATGGAAGACAGATATTAATTTTAAGGATTCTGTGCTTTGCTGTAGGTCATTACAATAAATCAATTCCTTTCTGTGTCCAACAGACAGCTGTATGAGAAGCAATAAGCCTTTGCATTTTCACTGGGGTGTAAAAAATAAAGAAATATTCCATAAGTATGTACTGATTCTTATTCAGCATAATTTGGTATTTTGTCACAGGACTGGTAAGCAAAAATAGAGAAAAATCATGAACCACTATGGAAGTACACAATACACAGTTGTATGCAAAATTATAGGCATCTCTGGTCAAATTGAATGTTTCAGTGAATCTCTAAGTGAAAAGCAGTTGACAACTTCTGCTGGATACAATTTGAAACTTTTCTATTTACAATTTTGTAGATATTCAAAACAATAAAATACTGAATCTGACAAATGTAAATGTTTGAACACGCTGTCAGTCAGTACTTAGTTAACACCACCAGCAGAAATCATAGTCCCCAGACATTTCCTGTAGCCAGCTATGAGTCTTTCTATTCTTGCTTTTGGATTTTATTCCCACTCTTGCATGCAGTGCATGTTTGAGATCTCCCCAAAGATTTTCAATAATATTCAAGGCAGGGGACTATGAAGTAGGTCAAGTAGGTAACTGCACATATGTAGGCTGCCAAGGAACAAGTAAAGGTTTATTCCATGCTGAAAAGTATTTACTTGTTCCTTTGCAGGGGACTATAAAGCCCATTCCAAAACTGATCTTTCATTCCTGTAAATACTCATGGTTGATTTTGAGGTATGTTTTAGATCGTTGTCTTGCTAAAATATCCAACCCATTTTCAATTTCTTCACTGACTCTGGGACATTAGCTTCTAGGATTTGTCATATTTAGTTGAATCCATTCTTCCTTCCACCTGCACAATATTTCCTGTGTTACTGGCTGCCAACCCCAAAACATAACTGATCCATCTCCATGCTTAACTGTTGGCAAAGTGTTCTTTTCTTTAAATGCTTCACCCATTATTCTCCAATTTTTCCAAATATCTATTGTGTTTGTAGCCAAAAAGTTCAATTTTCATTTCATCAGTCCACAACACTTTGTTCCAAAAAGTTTCTAGCTTATTAGGGTTTTGTTGTGCATATTTTAGAGGTTGTGATGATTTGTGATGAGGTCATAAGTAAAATTTCCTTCTTCTTTCCTTTCAAGTCCTCAGACTGCTTAGAGGAGCTCATGGTTCTTGAAAGTAGGCAGAACAACAATCACAACCTGAGAGGTTAGAAGTGTCAAGAGTATTTGCTCAGCCATGCAGAGCTTATATCACCTTCTCTTCACTTATTCATTGAAACACAGTTTAACCAGGGGTGCCTAATCTTTTGCACATAACTATATATATAAAAGGTGTACGTTTCACGGCAAGGGTACATCACGCTTATTTAAAAGCTATCTTCACCTTGTTTTCCATGTACTCAAGCCACTGCAGTCCCAAGTTGGTTACTATACGAGGGGTTCCATCATCTACTGGAAGGATATCTATCTTAAATTTCTGGGGAGCTGCTGTAACAATCTGAGAAAAAAAGAAAACAAAATACTTGGTAAAGCTTCTTAGTGTATACAATCACTACACACGATGTCTTAAGAGTTATTTGAAGTAGCACTTTTTACAAACACCCCTCAATACATGCTATAATAGAGCCTTGGAATAATGAAAGATAAAGACACTGATAGCTATAAGAACTACAATTTTAAATTTAAGACCAACAAAATACTTCCCTAATAAGATACTGCCTATACAAAAACCTGTCCCAATCATACTAAATTATTATTTGTCAAAATGCTAATTCGCAGGATGGGGAAATGCCACAGCTGTAAAATGTTGATTTTGATAGATGGCTTCAAAAAAAACCCAGTGTGTACATACAGTGATATGACTCTAGACAATGAATACATAGTTCTCTGCTTTCTGTCATCTTGTCTGCTACATTTTGCTGAATAATACAAAGGAGGTTTTTCTTGCAGAATTAACTTGAAAAAAACATTGTTTAAACAAGGGGGTGGTTTGAATTCTCACAGTCTTACAACATTGTTTAGCTACAATGTTCATAAACATTGTTTAGCTACAGATGCAGCCACTCAGAATGCTCATGGTGTTCTGCGATGTGCTGCAAAGAACATGCTGCTGTACCTTGAAAGGTACCACCCAGCACCTTTTTAATTTTTCAGATAATCTGATGCTGGACTGCAATACTCTGTAAAACTGCTAGGTGATGCAGTGAATCCTTAAAGTGTTGTGTGTCTAACAAACTGTAAATCTTATTTTAATAATAAAAATTGAATGTGCATTAAGACAATTTATTTTATTATTGACTAATCCACTCGGTCAATTCCTGATATTATGCATTTTTACTATTAGAGAAAAAGTCTTTATTTATTTTTAATGGGTGCACTGACCAAGAATCAAATCTGGGACCCGGGCAATAATTCTAAGGATCATTCAGTTTGGACAAGTTAAAAATCTCAAGAGTTACTTTTTCCATTTTCAACAAGAGTTCCAATGAAACTACAAGCATTTCATTTCCTATCAATTACTTTAGCCAGGGAAGATTCTCTGGGCAGTGTATGGCATCACAGCAAAGTCATCATGCGGTAATGAGTTTTGACGTGCAATCTGAGTGGCTCCATCAATATGTCTCAGAATCTTTCTTTCCTCTTACCTCCTTCTCTCTCTCCTTGACAACAAAGAACAGGTTAGTGCCGTCTGATACAGTAAATGTAAACCGATCTTTGAGGGAATTACTGCCGTCATGGTTATAACTAATGCGGTTCTGGTAGATATCATCCATGGTGAAGGTGGTGGTTTGGCGAAAGTGCTGCCCATTGTTGGTTCGTTCAATGGTGCCATGGCGAGGTGCTTGCACTATGGTGAAGATGATGGAATCTTCCTGTATTGGTAAGACAGAAAAAACATAAGATATTAATTAATTTCAAATTTTGCATATGACAAAACTCAGGTAATAAAAGAAAGTTTATTTATTGGAGATACCAAATATACAGTAGTCGGGTTCTTTTATTCTTTTATTTAGGAAGCAACATACTTTTCTTGTTGTCAGAAAGCCCCTGGATGCCCTATTGTCTCAGCATGCATCTGTCACACAACTCACATGTCAGCCTTTCTTGACAGCCTTATGAGACCACTGGTTGACAGGCTTCCTTCATATTTTAAGGACACTAACCACACTCTACAATTTTTAAATGATTTCCTGTTTCAGGGCACAGAATGATTAATTTTTACCATGGGTATCACATCCTTATACACCATAATTCCCCACAATGACGGTCTTACAGCCCTCAAACTGACACTGGACAAATGCACAGTGCTTGGATCCTTTGCATTCAATAACCCTTTTTAACAGCAGGTCAGTGGAGCTGCCATGGGGACAAGGATGGGACACCCAGGTATGCTAATAGTTTTGCTGGCTGGGTAGAAGAATGCTTCTTGATTTCCTACACCGGCTTTGTCCCTGACCTCTATAGGAGACACATTGATGACTGCGTCAGTGCTGCCACTTTCTCCAACAGCCAGCTAGAGCATTTACTGCATCATTTGACCAACTTTCACCCATCCCTCAAGTATAAAGTTAACATGTCTTCTGTTACTCTTCCATTTCTAGACATAAACCTATCCATTAACCATGCACAACTCTCTACTTCTTTATATTACAAATGCACAGATTCACATAGCTATCTCCTGTACAATTCCCTCCACCCCAGACATACTAAAAACGCTCTCCCCTTCTCATAGCTCCTCAGGTTCTGACAACATTGCAGTGATCCAGGTGGATGCTGCACATTGGTGGTGGTGGAGGGGAGACCCCATTACCTGTAAAGCGCTTTGAGTGGAGTGTCCAGAAAAGCGCTATATAAGTGTAAGCAATTATTTTTATTATTATTATCTTCTATAACCAAGCCCTCAAAATGCACTCTTTTTTATTAACTGAGGATACCCCACTCACGTTACTGAAAGGGTTGTCTCCCAAGCCAAAAATAGCCCTAGGATAATCAACCCAATTAGGAACTCCTGGACTCACAAATGGATTCAATTGGTGCTTCCCTATGACCCTAACGATCTATTCCCAGGACCATCAATGACAACTTCCCCATCTTATAGGATGATCTCTACTGGTACCTTCTTTTCTTTTCATCTCATACCACTGACCACCTAATCTGCGTAACCTTCTTGTTCACGGCTCTATTGATCGCCCACAGCAATCATCCATACCAACAAGTTGCAGCACTTACCATGCAACAGAACTCACTGCATCACCTGTAAATATATCTAATTTTCACGCACATTTAAGACCCCTCTGGACTTTCTGGATCACCCAGATCACATCATGTATTTTCAGCAACCTTATTTACTGCATCTCCTGCAGAAAATGCCCAGCTATTTACATTGCATTGGTGAGACAGGAAGGAGACTGGGAGACCATTTCATGGGACATGTTCAAACCCATAGATCCCATTTTACCTCCAACAGCCATGATCATACTGTTCTTTCCATCTGCATCCTCACAGAGGGGTTTCAGAACTCTTACTGCAGAAAGACATCTGAAACCAAAATTATCCTGAAACTAGGATCACACCTCCCCTCTACTCTTAATGACTGCTCTTATTGTCTCCTTCTAATCCTCTCTATTCACTTGCAGTTTTTGACTTCACACCTCTCTTCCAGTTCTCCTTGAGTGTAGATACTCCTTCTCTCCTGCTCCCCACCTCCTCTCAACTACACTTTTTTTCTTCCAAGCTGCTGGTTTCCTTCTCTCCTTCACACACAAAGAATTCTCCACAGCCAGAACATTGTCTCTTAACTCTTCAACATGGAATAAACCTTTACCTGTTCCATATTTATCTTGTTGCCCTGTCAACATATTGCACAGTGTTTCAACATATTTCAGTGTTTCAGGAATAGAATTTTGTGTTTCCGGGGCTGTAGAACATACAGTGGATAAAAAAGTCTACACACCCTTATTGAAATTGTAGGTTTTTGTGGTTTTGAGCCAGAAATCAAGTTAAATCATGTCAGACATTTTTCCATCTTTAATGTGACCCTGCAACCAACAACATTCAAGAGAAAAACAAATAGATATTTATTAGGAAATATAATTGAAATTAAAAAACTTAGAACACCCTGGTTGCATAAGTGTGTGCACCCCACCCAACTAATACTTTGTGGAAGCACCTTTTGCATTTATTACAGCAGTAAGTCTTTGTGAATAAGTCTCTATCAACTTTGCATACCTGGACTTTGCAATTGTATCCCGCTTTTCCTTGCAAAAAAGTTAAAGCTCCTTCAAATTGCCAGGGGATCTCCTGGGCACAGCCCTCTTTAGGTAATTTCACAGGTTTTCTATGGGATTGAGGTCTGGGCTCTAACTGGGCCATTCCAAGACTTTGATCTTCCTTTTCTGAAGCCATTCCTTGTGTTGTAACAGACAAGTAAGTTCTGGATCCCGAGATGAAGTTAATACAGATGAGTTTTATTGCATGCAAGTGTAGCGGCAAGCCTTTTTAAAATACAGGAATGACGTTTTCTGCTCCCTTGCCAGTACCTCTCTCTTTCATCTCAGTGGTACTTAATACAGAGAGGCCATTCCATTTGGTTCACAATTATGGTGTTTTTCTAGCTGATGGGAGTGTCCTGATAAGGAACAACTCCCAATTCCTGATATTCTCCAGCAACTTTAATAAATGTTAATCTGTGGCACCTTAAAGTCTGAGATTCCAAGGGAAAGTGTTATTCAAAGTTGGTTTACAACCCTAAGTTCAGAGGGCATGGTTACTCATCATCAGCCAAACAGGAACTGGTAGGGCAGGTTAACCCCACGTAGGTCTCTGATGCCCATGAAACTTTCAACCAATTAACAAACTGCAGTTCCTCCAGGCAAAACAGGCAACACAGAGCGCCTGTAGAACAGTTCCCAGGGGCAGAATAGTTCCCAAGCGCAGAACAGTTCCCAGGAACAGGACATTCTCGCAGCGCGCCTGCTGGACATTCAGCTCAGGCCTCCTCCTGAACATCCTCAGACTCAGCCCGGACCACCACGTAATGGCCAGTGTGTTCAAGTGCAGGACTTTCCTTTTTTCTAAGAGTTGAGGATGGAAGTTGCCAGCGCGTAACCAAAGGATCCACCCGAGGTTAGCATCAGCAGCAACAGGTCGGAATTGTGGACAGCTGAATCACTATTCAGAACTAGCGCTTCATCAGGAACGAACTGGTCTTCTTCCTGACCTGCTGGGACCTGCAGTCACTTTTCTCCTGTGCACAAACTTTGCTAGTTTCAGCCCACACTAGCCGGTCTTCAGAGAGCATCAGCAGCGCACCACGCAGGAATCTCTCCCACAACATTGCAAGCAGCACCACTGCCTGGCACCGAGCCAGAGAGCGCCGCAACAAGCAACAAGCTTGCCACTGCTTCCTTGTGTCTGCAGGAGATCTGAATCCCCACAGATTGGATGAGTATTCAACATTCTGCATTACTGCTCGAGAATTCAATTGTTATCTCAACCAGTTGATATCAATTTAATTCCTAAGAGTTATATACTTGTTTTGAGTATCTAGTGTAGAAGTTGTAACCAAGTTCATTTACGAAACGGTCTAAATGAATGATATACTGAATGTATGTCCCTCTTGGTATTTGTAACTCTTTGTGACTGAAAATATGTCTTTGGTATTCTGCTAACCCTCACGATAAGATCTGTTATATTTATATGCACATTTTATGTATTAATAAATTTATTATCGTGTATTAGTACTTGTGTGTGTATGTTGTTTGACTTATCTCAAGGTTGGATTCTAATACCATCAAAATAATCATTTTGTGACTTACTGCTACAATTAAGAATTGTCCCAGTAAATACACAACCCCTACATTACTGGTGCCTCGTGAGAGGACACTACACAAGGAACAATAAAACCAAAGTATTGTTCAAGTACCGGTACAAAACTTCCAGTTTATATAGCCCTTTTCTACCGCTTCTGACGTAGCTCATTACTATGGTAACGGGGGGAGGTCATGGTGTTCGGACAGTTCACAGACTTTGGCCAAAGTCAGTGTTAGGTTTCCTTCCTTGGGAAGGGGGGTTTCTAGAATCTGGAATCCTTATCAGTTATCCCCTTTTCCTGCCATAACTCTAAGCCTGGAATGTCTTGTGTCACAAGAAGTCCAGTCCTTGTGCAGAAAGGAATCAGTTAACCCCTTCTTTACATCTTATATCTTTCTTCAATTGGTTGACTTGGATGTTTGCTTTGAGTCGTTACCATGTTGAAAGGTGAAATTCCTCTTCATTTTCAGCTTTCTGACAGAGGCCAGCAGGTTTTGTGTCAAAATATCTTGATATTTGGAGCTAGTTAGTATCACATCTATCTTGAGTAGGAGCCCCTGTCCCAGCTGAAGAGAAGCAACCCCAAATCATGATGCTGCCACCACCATGTTTCACAGCAGGTATGGTGTTCTTTGGATGATGAGCTGTGTTGTCTTTGCTTTCAGAATTAGGGCCAAAAAGTTCAACCTTTGTTTCATCAGACCATAAGACATTTTCCCACATGGTTTGGGGTGACTGTATTTTTTTTGCAAAATTTAGACGGAATTGGATGCTCTTTTACGCGAGAAATGGCTTCCATCTTGCCATCCTACCCCACAGCCCAGACATGTACAGAATACGGGAGATTGTTCTCACATGCAAGGAGTGACCAGTACCTGCCAGAAATTCCTGAAACTCCTTTTATGTTGCTTTAGGCCTCTTTGTAGCCTCTCCTTGTCATCAACGTTGGAGGGTCGCCCTGATCTTGGCAATGTCCCTGTGGTGCCACTTATTTTCTCCACTTATTGATGATCGTCCTCAGAGTGCTCCGTGATACATCTAATGCCTTTGATATTGTTTTATACCCCTCTCCTGATCGGAAACTTTCAACAATAAGATCCCATAGATGTTTTGTCCATGTGGACCACACTATTCCAGTAGGATGCAACCCCGAAGGTTTCAAGGAAATCCCACAGGAACAGCTGATTTTCATTTGGGATTCATCAGAATCACTTTCATTGATGGCAGGTGTATGCTGCTTACCTTTGGTCATGATTTTCAATGTAATTGGTTAACTTGGAACACAGCTACAGCCTCCATTACAAAAAAGGGTGTGCACACTTATGCAACCAGGATGTTGTAGGTTTTTTAATTTCAATTATTTTTCCTTATAATTATATATATGTTTTTCTCTTGAATTATGTTGGTTGCAAGGTCACATTAAAGATTGAAAAATGTCTGACATGATTTATCTTGATTTCTGGCTTTACATCACAAAAACCTGCAATTAAAATAAGGGTGTGTAGACTTTTTATATCCACTGTAGATCTCCAAGACACATTTGTATATAGTATATAGTGTTACTAGTATACATGTTTTTGTGTTTAGTGTTGTGTGTTACTGCTTATTGTTAATGAATATTTGTTCATGTTTGAGTCAGATTATACTCCATCAACAGAACTGCCAGAGAATACAAAAATGTATTAATTTTATTTTCCTGACCCTCCCTTTTTTAATAATATTAATGTAAATAGTTTTATGTGCATGTAAGTTTCTATGAATTTAGAAAAAGTCAATGAAAAGTATGAAGATATAAAGAAAGCTGATCAATAATAAACTTAAAAGTCTTTTAGGAAGCTTTGAATGAATGCCAACAATCTGCAGCTGTTCTTAGACCCATAAGATCTATGCTCGTGAGAATAAAAAATAGAAATAACAAACCACTTATAGCCATGAGATAATAATTTAACTACTATCAAGTCCTTTGTGGGAATGCTCTCTTTTTAAACAAATCTTGATTTTTTTTAAATGGGAGTTTGAAAAGAAGTTGATAATCTTTTGTAAATGAAGCTTTGGGTCTTAGATGTCAGTTTCATATGTTTGTTCAGTCATGCAGTTTTCCCCAGAGAACGAAAAACATGCAGTATTGGTGACAGCCTACCTCTGTGTCAGCATCTGTTGTCTTGAGCTCAAACTCAGTGATGGTCTTTCTCATACCCTCCTGCACACGCATCCCAGGAACCTGAACTATGGGAAGGGAGTCATCCACTGGACGAATTGTGATGTAGAACGTCTGGGTAATCTGGAAGTTACATAAGGGGCTCTTGTTTTAAAATCTGCATTGTGCAGGAATCTTTTTATCTTTTTCATTTTATTTAAACTGATAATAACAAGTACATCAACTTGGAGAAATACTGTATGCTCTTTCAGGTTCACAAACTTAATAGCATTAATTAGAGTAATTAGAAACACATTAAATCATTCATCCATTTTCTAACCATTTCATCCAATTCAAAATAGTGTGGGTGCTGAAGCTGATTCTGGCAAACAATGAGCATAAGGCAGGATAACATTGGATGTCAGTTCATCACAGGGCACACACACACCAGGCACAATTTCTCCAGAAGCCAATTAACCTACCAGTATGTCTTTGGACTATGGGAGAAAACCAGATTACCTGGCAAAAACTCAAGCAAAGGGAAAAACACACAACTACCATGCAGATAACACCTCAGGTCCAGAACTGATCCCAAGATCCCAGCACTTTAAGGCAGCAATGCTAACCATTGAGCCAGCATGCCAACCCATACATAAAACCCTATAATCAAATTGTACAGTTCTTGTTAATAAGAATGTTGTGCATTTTTTATTTTGGTTTTATTTTTCAAATGTAATCAATTTAAATATATGCAGAAGAAAATAAAATGGTTGGATTTTTTAGAAATTAACTGGATAATGCAGTATTTAAACCTGTTTTATTTGACAATGATCATTATGTTTCCTTTGAAAGGTAAATGTAAAAAGTGCTCTTACTTTACCTCATTAGCCCCATCAGACACTATGAAGGAGAAGTCATCAGAATGTTTCTCCTCATCACTTGTGTGCACATACTGAATACTGTGTGATGCAAGATCAGCCTGTGTGAAAGTGGATATCTGTGTCCCTGTAGAGAAACAAAAATAATATTTAGACTTTTTATGAATAGAGTCAGTTTGTTTTTAAAATTAGGAGGAGGTGGTGTAAAAAGGGGTAGTATTACAATTATACCAACTTTGTATCTTTGGCTCAGTAAGCAGTATACATTTTATGAGTTGATATTTAAATTTTAGGAACTGAACACATACTGTAATCCTGACTTGCAATACATGTCACTACATGTCACTGGCTACGATGACCTGTTCTCAAGCAAATGAAAGGCCGTAAATTAGCAGCAGTAGCCATCATGAGAAATGTGATATTTTCCTTTCTGAATCCATGCTGCTAGATTGTTTGTGGTTTTATTCATGAGGGATCTCCGGACCTGGGGTGGCAACATGTTCCAAGTAACCCAAGAGAGGTTGTTTGGTGATCCTGTAAACCAGCTCGCCTGGCTCACTGTCCTGGTCTGTGGCAGACAGCTGAAAAGTGGTGATTTTCTTCGCTGAATTCTCATCCAGAACTAGCCCTTTATTTACAATTACAGATGGGGGGAGTCTGTCTTCTGGAATACAGGCAACACAGAAAAAATATAATCAATCATTCCCTCCTTGATAATAGATACTTGAGGTACCCAGTATAGTTTATTGCCATATGGACACATACATTGGAATTCTAAATCTTAATCACTAACAAATCTTAAGCAAAATGCAGAGATTAATAATACTATATATGAAATGAAAGCTTAAAAAACAACATATTTACCCAGTACGCTGATGTAGAATGATTGGTCAATCAGTTTATTGCCTTCAGAATCAGAAAGGTCAAATTTGAAAGCAAAGCTGCCTCCTGCCTTACCCTTTTCATGTCTGTATTCTACGAATCCTGGAAATCATTAAAAAATACAAAGTTATCATGTGTTTGCAACAGGGCAGCAGCATTTGTGAGGGAAGCTTGCATAGTTGGGATGCCCCGAAAGCCATTTACGGTTAATAGGATGATAGTGTTATTAGAGAAATCAGAGCAAATGTGTGCACATAGGTCATATGTACACATTTGCACTTGTGAGCCAATAAAAGCAACCGCATGTGTAGACAGCACAGAACCCTTCCGCAACTGGTGCCCTTTAGTAGACTCTGTAAAAATGGTTGAGTCAGAGAAAAGTAACATCAGTAGTAAAACAGAGAGATTAATGGAGAGAATGTACACAAGTAACGTCAGTAATGACAGCCTGGTTACATTAAATACAAAGTTCAAAAGGTTTATAATGGTCTCTTGGTTGAAAGGATTTGAATGTGTACAGTTTGTTTAGGCAACATCCAGGAAGCAATCTCACCACAGTCAGGTAGACTCTGGAAATGATAAGACCTTATCTTATGATCAAGGCCAGGAGGGGACCAGTTGACTCTCCCCAGCGGTTAGCTCTGAAAGGTAAGGAACTCTGTCTGGTCTTACCCTCAAGCTAAAGAGGAAGCAAGTCTCATGTAGAAGCCATTTTAGTGAGTTGCTAGGTTAGGTGGAAGGTTTCTCATGGCAACTAAGAGGGCTAAAGGTAAAGTACAGATGCAGCCATTCAAAATGGGTGAGGTATTTCACGGCATACCGCGACACGCCCACCGGGGTATCACGCGGTATCACGTGTGTCACGTGAC